AAATTTTGTTGATATTATTTAAATCACAATGTCTTAAACGTTGAGGAAAGAAAATCGAAAATTACAGTTCACTGATAATATCAACACTAGGTTCTTTCCCTTACAATCCGGACCGGGTTTGGTAATTAGAGAATAAGAGAAACATTTTCTTTCAAAAATGGAACAAAGTTCAGAAGTACGGAAACGCAAAAACCCACATTTCGTGCCCCCAAGTCGAGAAACAGCTGATTCACGTTGTTCTTGTTTTTGTCACTTATACCATGTTCTGACCGACATCGAAAACATGTTTTCGTTGCTAAAACTTTTTTTTTTCGATTATTTATCGAAGTGGAAGTTATATTTTATCATCTTTAATACGCCATTTCGGATTTATTGTTAATTGCCTGGCCAAAGCAAAATAAGAATGAAAGTTAAAGGTTGTAAATGAAAAGAAAATGAAGGAAAAATGTTTTGGTTGTCGGTCAGAACATGGTATTAAATGCAAACACTTGGAAATTGAATTTTGGTTTCACAAATTTGATTTTAAGTACATAGATTGAAAATACATCAACAGGCCATTCACTTTTCCTTAAAAGCACCAAGTAAATGCAGGCAACATGTAAACACAATACAGCTGATATGCACTTTGACACTTTATACATTTTTACTCGGAGAAAATTTCGGGCTATTTCGGGCAGGAAGATGAATACACTTACGATCGAATACGCTCGAATTTTCGCTCTCTGTTACCCATTTTATTGAGCACAGGCATGATTTCTAGGCTATTTTGGGCACACGCGGGATCTCGCATTGCGTACGGGAAAGAAACTACTTAAATATAATTAATCGATTATCGATTCACAACAACAAAGTCATCAGCAGATTTTTGCGAAAAGTTACCTTGCCATACTTATTTACTACTTAACAAGAATTTTAGCAAAATGTTGCTGATTTTGGTTAAATAAATCATTTATTTCAAAGAAATTTTTATTTATTATTTTTGTAAATTTCTGGAAACCGATTGAAACCTGTGATTGAAATGGTTTCGGTATCGTTCCTTTTCAGGTCAAGATAACGGTTACGGTTTCGGTTTCGGTTTTGAAAAAAGAAACGGTTTTAAACGGTTACGGTTTCGGTTTGGGTGTCGGTTTCATTCCTTGGTTATAATTATATAAATTATAATTTATGATTATCAATCGAAATGATTCTAAAAAGCTATAAATTCAAAACTGCATTGAAGAAGGTTGCCACCTGTTAAAAAGTCAAATTGGCGTTGAATTAGGGGAATCAGATAATTATTATCACAATACGTGTGCCAGACGAAAGAAGTTGTACATTGGAAATATTTTGGATAGGGTTGCCACCTGTTTGAATGGTCACATTTAATTTAATTACACACAAGTTAAAAGAAATACATACATACCAAAATATTGATGTCAAATAAAAAGTAACAAGGCATCTTTAGCTTGAACATTATGAGTGTCAAAGGAAAGAGTTTTAAGAAGTTGAAGGGGATTAAAAAAATTAAAAAAGTTTATAAATTATTACACCATCCACAGTACTTTTGCCTAGAACGCCTTTTCACCCCGGCGCCCTTCGACCGACTTAAAGCAAACAAATCTGGCGGACCAACAGCGCCTACGTTATCTTTAGCTTGAACATTATCAGTGTCAAAGGAAAGAGTTTTAAGAAGTTGAAGGGGATTAAAAAAGTGAAAATCTCCAGTGAATTTGGCTGAGTTTAAATTGCTATATTTTGAGAAGTTAATAAAGCTAGTCTGTATTAACTTGTTATACATAACTATTCACATCCTTGGTGTAAAACTGCGTTTGATAATCCTTTTTTCAGAGAAAACTGCAATATTTCCATACTCAATCCATATAATGACAACATGTGACACCGTAGTGTATTTTCAGCGGCAAAATATTTTAAAATTTCTCTATTTATGTCGATGAAAGAGCATAAGATCAACGGACTTTTAGTTTCAATTAAGCATTTTTCAATACAGTTTACCATTACAGCATACAAAATTACGAATGATGCTTCATATTTAACTTAAAAATCTTTCTAAAATCCAATGAAAGCAGCTTTTCAACA